TGATAATGAAGAGTCAATGAATACTCACATCGTTTGCCAATCAGTGATGTTTTGGTGATAAACGAGCGAAGAGTGCGCTCACGAGTAGTGAAGACATGTTTTGTGTTTAGCCTTTCGTTCACTGTTTGTATTGACGTCTCTTTGGCAGCGATTGCTCTCTATTTCTATTCATTTCATTCAAACCCTTATTATTTGCGATAAAACTTTTTATCACTTTTTTCATTCAATTGTTTTTTATTTTATATGGATTTATATATAAATGTGTTTTAATTATTATTTTTTTATGTTTTATTTTGATTAACACATGAAATTCAATACCAAATATAGATTTACTTGTTTTTTATCGCTTGTAATGAGAGACAGATTTTTTGCTTTCCATAACTTTTACACTGTATTTAAGTTTCAATTAAATGTTTGAAAATATACTTTTTTTTATTCGCAGAGAGACCACAGTTTTCATGCAAGATCTGTTCGCAAGAGTATACGCCCGACAAATGCATTGACAACACATTTCAAGTGATCCATTGGTCCCGAAATAACGGCGAAAGCAATGAAAGTGGTGTTTGTAATCAGTGTCATAAAGACAAGCCGTTAGTGATTCGCTGCAAAGAGTGTGAATGGATTTGCGAGCCCTGCCATCGACTTCACATCGCTATCGCTGTCTTCGAGTCTCACGAGTTGGACGAGAGCTCCAAAGTGTCGCCAAACGCTGACCTAAGCCTCAACAATACGTGTCCCACACATAACGTACGATCACTTCTATACACACATAGATTTATCTTAAATGATGGCTAAGTTTGTAATGATTTGTTGATTTTTGAATGGCTTTTAGGAGGAGATAACAGTGTATTGTAAGACATGTAGTAACGCGTTCTGCGCCCGTTGTATACTCCGTGACCACAATCTCCACGTCTACGAAGACTCCAAAGACACGACACAAATGGACAAATTCTTCGACTCCTTCCGAACACGAGTGGCGGATATCACAGATAAGAGAACGCATTGCGAGAACACATTGCAAAAGTATGAGACAATCGAGACCGACATCAGTAGTCAGAGGGATGTCTGCGTCAACCGAATCAAAGACATTATCAGTAGACTTCACACCAAAGTGGATGACATGGGAACCACTCTATTGGATGGCGTTAACAATAAGTGCAATGAAAAGCAAACCGAATACAGTTCCAAGAAATGCCAATTGAAACAAATGAACCAATCATTTGAGTTCATCGAGCAGTTCATGTCCGCCATTCTCGACCTCAACGAACCCATGAGTGTCTTGAAAGCTCAGGATCTGTTAAGCTCTCAGGTAATCATTGATTGGATTAATTTTGTTTGGGATTATAATTAATGATTAATTTTGTTAAATATGTACTATAGTTGCAAAAGTTGTTGAATAAGCCGTGCAGTCATCCCGACTATATCACGCCCTTTACCATTGAAGTGAAGGACCAGTTGACTGATGGCAGCGGCGATGGACTCAATATCAATAAAATGATTGACGGAGTGTTTAATATGTGCTTCAATATTGTCTCGAGTGATGACAAGCAGACAAAGACCGCAAATAGTAATACTAAAAATAGCAATAATAATACTAATGAAAGCAATGATTTAGATGACGACATCGCAGAGATATTTGAATTGCCAAACTCTAGGCCAAACTCCAGGCCAAGTCCTGGACAGACATCCACAGCATTACAGGCGGCAAATATAGGTAATACACAAACCATTGCACAGACAACCGCACAGACAGCCGCACAAACAGCCGCACAGCACAGCTATTACTATAATAATAATTATAATAATAATCAAAATAAACACTTGAGAAATATGTTGGATTCAAATCCACAAAATAGTAGACAAACACATGCATTGCAAACAAACATTCCCAACGCTTCCATGCATTTGCAAAGTATAAATTCAATGACAAACTCTATCACACAAAACAATACTCCAGTCCAAGCGATGGCCTCCTATGGCAGTCCCGGTGTATATCGTGGACCCGTTCCCAGTGCTAACAGCTGTCAGCAAATCCATAGGAAAGGCAATCCTCCCAACTATATGTCTATCGCAACGATGGCTAACCCACCAAATGTTACCGTTAACACTAATAACACGTTTACCGGTGCCAACAGCACAGCACAACCACAACCGGCCACAACTTATGGGTAAGCAATCGTTTGTACTGTAAATTGTTAATCTCTATTGACTGGTAATTAATATGATAGACATAACCTGCGGATGTATGCGGGCGGCAACATAATGCAAGGACCCAACCCTATCACCAGAACCCTATTGCAGAATAGACCACATGAGGGAACGACAACTGTTATATATACCAATAATATTCAAGCGCCCACTAGAAGCCAGTTAGCGACTCGACTCGCACAACAACCGCTACCACACTTTCAATACATTCAACCACAACATACCGTTCCCACTCGACCGCAACCGCTTCAGCCCCAAACACAACTCCATTCCCAACTTCAGTCTCAACTTCAGGCCCAAAGTCAACCACAAACTCGGCCACAACTTCAGTCCCAAAGTCGACCCGCACTTCAGCCGCAAACACAGCACGCGGTTCAATATTTACAACATTTACAACGAGAGCTAACACAACAGCCAACACAACAGCCAACACAACAGCAAACACAACAACAATCGCATCCAAATCAGCGTCAAATGCAACAACATTTTGATTTCCAACTCCAACACCAAAAGGAAATTCAAAGAGAGAAAGAAATCAATGAAATCGCCAAAGAGTTAGAGAAAGCGAGCGAAGGGTTTCCAACGGATCCTATTTCCTCTCATATCTCATCTATAATTAGAGAACAACAGGATATCATTGCCTCTCAATCTCAAGCCTATCGGACACACACTCAAAACACCAGACCTGTCAACACAATCGCACCGCAAACCGCGTGTCAAACACAGAATGACCCCATCGTTGAGCTCCATATACCGGACAATTGGTGTCCACTTCCGACCGCATCGCAGAACACAACACAGACCCCAATAGAGCCACAAATAGTGTCGAGTGTGACCATCGCTGCGACGACACCCAGAAATAGTATCGATGACATGATAGCCGCAGTGCCCACACGTCCCACGTCTACAGATTCTGGTATACAAACGCCAGTCCTGTCGATGCCTTCTGTGGCCGACATTATTGACAATTCATTGCCAAATAGCGCACAATTGGACACAACGGGAGACACAAATGATAGGAGACCTTCAGATGACAACTCCGAGATTATTCTCCCAAACTCTCCGAACCCGCCATCAGTTGATTCATTGTTCTCTTCGACTGAATTCATATCAAGCGATATCAACGCCGGAGAGAAAGATAAAGAAGAGAACAACACTATAGAGAGTGAAGTGTCGACAACAGTAACAGTGACTCCTTTGCCCAAACCTATGGCACCAGTGGCTCGCATCGCACCGATCACTACCACCGAAGAAGCGGATTCGCCGCCCAATGATCTCATGAGTGACGACGACTCGGAAGAGCGCGAGTCCATAGATGAGGACGCCTTCTGTGTTGTGTGCGATCGAGAGTTCGGAGAATTCATAATATGTGGCAATTGTAGCCGTAGTTTCCATAAGGAATGTCATGTCCCAGAAATCAAGACAATGCCTGAGTATTGGATCCAATCATACATTTTGTTATATAATCTAATGTTTTTGATGTCTATTTAGGACTACATTTGTTTGCACTTTCTGTAAAGACTTGCCGTCAGCGCAGAGCGCCGCCAGAGTCCGAAGGCCTGGACTTAACGACAGACAACTAATGGTAATATTTTATTGAATGTCAATTTTGATCTCCATTTGTATTAATACTGGTTTTATATGTGGTTTTGTAATAGACGTGCGAAAAAGTGATGATTGCGTTGATTTGCCATAAATTGAGTCAACAGTTAAAGCCTATAGAGAGTGAGACACACAATGAAGAAAACACTACTTTATTGACGATTAAAGACAACTTAGAGAACAGAAGATATGAGAATGAAGTGGACTTTATTGCAGACATCAGACGAATGATCGCCAACTATAAGAATAGGAGCGATGTATTGATTACACGCTTTAGATGTTAAAACCAATACTCATTACTCGTTTCTATTTCACTATTAGATAACACCGGAAGACATGAATAACTTCAACGCTTTTGAGAAGTATTTCCAGACAAAACTCCGTAAATTAATGCCAGCCTTTGCCAACACAACACACACTAACAGCTCTGCCGATAATACCGGCGGTAATCATAAGAAAAGCAAAACGAGTTGTATTTCCATTTAATCTAACGCCAAGTGTTTTATAGTTTATAAAATTATTTCTAATTAGAAACCAATGGTTGAGATGTTTTCAAAATTAACGTTATAACAGATCATTGAATCTCTAATTATTATCACTTTTAATTAAAATAGTTTTTATACTCGCAATAACTTATTGATGACATCAAACATTTAATTGTAAATATGTTTGCATTTACCACTAATTTGTAATAATTTTTTATCATTTAAATGACGAATAAAATAATTTAAGTTTTATTTAGAAAAATTGCTGAAATAATTGATTAATGGATGAAATAAAGGCAATAAAATGATTGTTTGATAATTGAAAATGTCTTTAATAAGTGTTTTAAATGAGAAATTAATTTCAACAAATGATTTGTGAGTAAAATATGTGATAATAGAGAGCATTGAATGTGAAAGTGTTTTTGTATAATAATATTGTTTAGCAATTATTTTTAGACAAAATTTGGTAATTATTGAAATTTAAAGGCTATTTAAGAAAATGCAATATATTTTTAATTACGAAAAGCAAATAAGTGTCGATTGTTTTGTTCAATAAATTTTATGCTAAAAAGTATTCATAAAACTAATAGTAAAACATATAGTGTTTGCCAATTGGTGTCTAAATAACTCTTAAATTATATATATTACAGAATTAATTAATATTATGGCTTTAATTATAATTAAATGAAATGATTCATAAATAATTATAACATTAAAATTGTTGAGCAAATATAACATAAAAGTTATAGTACTTGTTATTAGCAATTAAAATGACAATGAATTCAGTTAATGAATATAATAATAATATTTTCTATACGAATAACAATTGCATTAATAATTATATCAATTAGTTATTGTGTTTATAATATAACAGAAATTTCCATAAATATAATTATAAATAACAGGACATAATTACAGTTAGGCTTTATTTTTACCGCTTTATTCACTAAATTTATAATAATATATTAATTCTCAATATATTTAGTTATTTTGAGACTAATAATCACTAATGGTTTTTCATTTGTATTTTCTAACCACTGTTAGCATTAATTTGTGTGTATTTTTGTTTTGTTTAAACTTTGATTTAGTTGTCAAACAAATATAAGGGTTGTCTTTATTTTTAAAAAATTAGTGAAAGTTTTGATTCAAATTCTTAACAGAATATTCAGACTATATATGAAATCCTGTTTACCTTTGAATGTGTTTTTGGCAATACTTTTAAAAGTATTGATTCATTTGTTTTTAACCAATAAATGCGAGAATTGTTTATAAATATTATGAAAATTAGAATTAATTGTAAAATTAAGATAAAATTTGTTGCGAATTGAATACTATATTTATTTGATGGCCTTAAGGCACATAACGTTACAATGAAAGGCACTATAAATACAATTAACTTATTATTAAAATTTATTTTAATTTAACATATAATCCAATTAAGACTAGATATTAGATCTGATAATCACTTCTCATTCGCCATAATTCGGGCATTTATTGTATAATCGGAAACAATATATCTTTCCATTCAATCATCAAATATATAACCCTTTGATTTACATAATAATTAACTATATTTGTCGAGTGATTATCATTTCTAACGACTAGAAAATGCCATGACTTGAACAGCGATTATCTGATGATTAGTATTAATGTATGAATTAATAAATGATTTATTTTTATGTTTTATTTTGCTTTTATCGATGATCTCCGAAATGAATGATGTATTTACTATAACTTTAATAAAAATGTGAACTTATCTTAAAAGTATTCAATGTTTTTATACTATAATTGAATTAAATTAACTGATAAATGAATTATAATATTGTATTAATTATAATATCAAGTAATAGTAATAATATAAATGTATGATAAATGAAGTGATGTTTGAATGAAGTAATTAAACAACGATTCAATTTCTATACAAAGAGAGAGA